CAGTACGCAGCCGGTCAAACGCAAGTGTATTATGGCGCGGAAGGCGCCGCAGAACCCAGCTACGGTGCCGGAAGTCCTCAGCCGCAAGCAGGCGGGCAACCTCAACTGTTTACTCCGGGGCTCGTCGGCGAAAGCCAATTTCAGGCGCAGCAGGATCAGCAGCAGCCCTCTTACTTCCGCCCTTCCGGTGGGCAGGAATATGGTGGCGCACCTGCATACGGCCAGCAGCCTGCGTATGGCCAGCAGCCAGCAGCACCCGGCGTCGATGGTCTCGCCAATCAGTTCAGTAACATGGCTGTCGGAGGCGGACAGAAACCGGTGTCATTGTACACCACGAATCTACTAACGTCTCCTCCGGAACCTCGTGAGCTTGAACGGCCACCGCCCGAAATAAGACTGCCTCCAAACGCGTCTCTGTCGCCTTCTCCGCACGCTAACGCGCACTTCTCATACCAACGCTCGACTCTCAACGCGATACCTACCACTTCATCCTTACTAGGAAAGACGAAAATACCGCTCGGATTGGTTGTTACCCCTTGCCGAACCCTGAACGAGGGCGAGGAGCAGGTTCCGCTCGTCACAGACACTGTCATCGCTCGCTGTAGACGATGCAAATCCTACATCAACCCCTACGTCCAATTTATAGAGGGTGGCAACCGGTAGGTCTGCGCATTTGATCAATGTATTGCAAATTGAACACTCCTCGTAGCTGGCGGTGCTGCATGTGCTCTATGGCAAACGATGTGCCCCAGATGTTTGACTGGGACCAGACGCGGAATCAGCCCGCTGACAGATGGTCGCGTGCAGAGCTCAACTACGGTGTTGTCGAATATATCGCCTCTGCAGAGTACATGGGACGCGCTCCTCAACCTACCGTTTATGTGTTTCTGATTGACGTGAGCCATGCGGCGATACAATCCGGTATGTAAAACACCATCTTTTTCCCGGATACCCTTCGCTCATTGTGTCGTAGGCATGGTCGCAACTGCCACACGCACCATTCTGGAAAGCTTGGATAGACTTCCGAATGAAGATAATAGGACCAAAATTGCGATTATTGCATTTGATGTGTCGCTATACTTCTTCTCAATGGCTGTCAGTTGGGTTGTTGCTCTTGCCTATTCCCTCTTCTCAATTTGCTTTATCGTAGCCCGATGAAGGCACGCCATCTATGCTCGTCGTATCAGACATTGACGACGTGTTCCTCCCGAAGCCGACTGACCTGCTCGTAAACCTCACGGAGTCCCGCCCGGTCGTCGAAGATTTGCTCGGAAGAATACACGACATGTTCCAAGACAACCATACTGTCGGTAGTGCGCTAGGGCCGGCTCTGCAAGCCGGTTTCAAGCTGATGGTATGGCATTCTTTGATCGTTTATCTCTTTCTAACATGCTCATGAACATAGACTCCCATTGGTGGTCAAATCATCGTACTATCTGCCAGTCTGCCTAGTATCGGCGTCGGTGCACTCAAAAATAGGGAAGATCCCAAAATCCTTGGCACATCAAAGGTCGGGCCATCACAGAGACTGCACCAAACTCCTGTCCTCATCCTCCCATTTAGGAATCGAGTCTTTTGCAGGCCGCAAACCCTTTCTACAAAACTTTCGCCATCGAGTGCTCGCGCGCCCAAGTATCTGTAGATATGTTCCTTTTCAGTTCAACGTACCAGGACGTGGCCACTCTCGGTATGTTGGCCAATTCCATGTAGCATACGCACACTAACTCGCTTGCTCAGCCTACCTCCCTCACTATACATGTGGTCAGACGTATTACTACCCGGCATTCAACGCCGCAAGGTCGGAGGATGCTATCAAACTGGCTCACGAACTCGCAGAGGTTATGGCTATGCCTATTGGTTTGGAGGGAATCATGCGTATCCGTGCATCCAGAGGTACAGGACCATCTTTGTTCGCACCTCCACCTTGGGCTCTGACGTTGCCATTCGTCTCAGGTCTGCAAATGTCCGCCTTCCACGGCAATTTCTTTGTCAGGGCGACGGACCTCCTCTCGATGCCTGCCGTGCCTCAAGACCAATCATATGCAGTGGAGCTCCAGATTGACGAAACGCTGACCGCGCCCTTCGTCGTGTTCCAGACTGCCATCCTGCACAGTACCTGCTTCGGTAGGATTCGAAATTTTGGACGTGTGTGTCAATTGACTCACCGATTATACTAGGTGAACGCCGTGTTCGTGTAGTTACCACTGCTTTGCCGACGACTAGCAGTCTTTCCGAGGTCTTCGCTTCCGCCGACCAGATTGCCATTGCTACGCTTCTTGCAGACAAGGTCGTTGAGCGGGCGATATCGCACAAACTCGAGGACGCGCGGACCGCCCTCGTATCCAAGATGGCAGACATTCTCACGATGTACAAGAGCAGTATGACTGCTGCTGGCGCAGGGGCTAGCGCCCAGCTTTCGATATCTGAGAACTTGAAGATGCTGCCCGTCTTGGTTCTTGGGCTACTCAAGAATGTATGTAAAATTGGTTTCCCTCCTGAAGGTGCCGCTAACACGCGATGTGTACTTAGGTCGGTATCCGGCAAAGCGCGCAAATTCCCCCTGATCTTCGTGCATATGCGCAAGCATTATTGACGTCCCTACCTTCCCAAACCTTAATCCCATATATTCACCCGAACTTCTATTCGTTACACAACATGCCGCCAGAGGTATTTTATACATTGTTTTTCTCCAGGCTGCAGTGCTAATTAATTCTGCGTAGGCTGGTACTGTCGGCGAACATGGTGTGATCATGCCTCCACCTCTTCCCTTGACTTCAGAGCGATTAGAGAGGCATGGCCTCTTTTTGATTGAAGATGGCCAGAATATATTCCTGTGGGTCGGGCGTGATGCTGTTCCGCAGCTTGTCATGGATGTATTCGATCTTCCGAGCTACGAAGTGCTCCGCGGAGGGAAGGTGCGTAGTTTTACTTTGCTCCCGACATCCAGGCGGTGTATAACATTGCATTGCAGACAATACTGCCGACGCTGGACAACCCATTCAATCAACGTGTCAACGCGATCATACAGAAAACACGCGAGATGCGCCGTGGTGTCTACTGGCCTCACTTGTACATCGTCAAGGAGGATGGAGAAGCGCCTTTGAGGCTCTGGGCGCTGAGCTGTCTGATCCAGGACCGCGCGGACGTCCTCCCGAGCTATCAGCAATTCATTTCGCAACTCAGAGATAAGGTACGTGCTCCCGAGTGCTAGCGGATTCTTGTCGCTCATGCACTATGCCCCCAGGTCAACGGGGTCGGGAGCTACTAAGGATGGGTAACCGTACAGTGAGGCTTGAACGTCTGGGCCATCGTGAATATTTATCGCTTCTGTCATATAAGTAGGATGGCGGAACAAAATTATTTTCCGATCCTGATATCCCGCCCCTCGTGGTCTTTGCAAGCTTTGATGTGCCTCCCAAACCTGTCGTCCTGTCGCGAAGTCTGAGCTCGAGCGCAACATTGACAAAGGTTCCGGATCCCGATTGCTAAACTCGTGGCAGGGAAGCGCTAAGCGGTATTACTACTTCACTTTATACCACACCGATCTACATAATTTATACCGCCAGAACTAGAACTGCAACCCTGTTCATAACATTACCGCGACTATCATAGCTACCACCCGCGCGCGGACACCGGATTGCGAACATCATGTCGACGGACCCATACCATGTCGTGCAGAAAGAGCTCCAAAGCTCACTGCAAACTGCGGAGTCGCTGAGGTCGTCGTACGCGCGAATACGAGGGATGGCGCGCGGAGAAAGCGAGGAGCTTATATGGGCACGCAATGAGGTATGTACGGCGGTCATATCATGCTGTCAAAAGTGTGGGATGAGTGTCCAGGCGCTGACTGTGCGTGTGGTGTGTATTGTAGCTCAAAGCAACGCTAGCAGCCTTGGAGGCGGATTTAGAAGACCTAGAAGAAAGTGTCAAGTGCGCTCGACATGGCTTACTGCTTTAAATACATACTAAACACGTATCGTCATTAGAATTGTCGAGTCTACAGACGCGCGCATGTTCGGACTTACAGACGCAGAGGTCCACGAACGCCGGAGATATGTAGGGCGCGTTCGCCACGAGATAGAGGTGCGTATCATCTCTCCATTCTCAGGACGTGACATAAAACGACTTCCCTGCAAGGATAGAGCATGCGCGCCGAAGTGACCTCGACATCCCCTGCTACAATACATGCATCTTCATCACATTCGCCACCTAATTATCCAAATTCACCCGGTGCACGTTCCCCTATGCTAGGAACGCGGTCGCCGCCTCCGGGAGATGACCAAACGGAATGGGCGCGGGAAGAACAGCAAGTATGTGTCCTTCAGGTGCTACTAGGCAGACGCACAAACTGATGGTACATGTGTTAATGACAGCTGATGGTCCGCGAACAAGACCGGACTATCGACACCATTGCGGGCACGCTAAATACCCTCGCGCAACAAGCGGGCCTCATGGGCCAGGAAATCGGAGAGCATAACGAGTTGAGTTTCCTGCCGTCGCCACTTGCAAGCCTTGGCTGGCTTACATGGAGTGTTTCTATAGGCTTTTGGATGATCTGGAAGCGGGTGTCGACCGCACAGATAATAAACTGTCGGATGCCATGCGCAAAATGCGCAAATTCATCCGGGATACCGAGGGTGCGTGCCTGTATTCAATAAAGTGGAGTGGGTGCTGACAGCGCTCGTAAATATGGCAGAGACCAAGTCAGGATGGTGTATCGTCATTCTAATTATTGTGTTACTCGCATTGCTGCTTGCGGTTATATTTTTCTGACTCTACTTCGTCGGGCGGTTTTGCCGTTTTGGTTGTCTCTTCATGGACTGCGCATTGCCTGGATATAACGGATAATACATACACTACCCTAGCTCACCAGCTCACCGCGCAGACCTGAAGCTTCACCCAGTGTCCATTCGGTAAGTAGTTTGGGTGGATGTTTGAGTGGTGGCAAGCCGTACATTACTGCAGTTGTTTGTATAGGTAAATTTGCTCTTGCTACACGAGTCTCAGTAGCTCAGTGGTAGTAGCGTGCGATTGCAGTTAGCACTCTATCGCAATGTCAGGCGTTCGATCCGCCTCTGGGACTCATTTTGACTGAGTTTTCTTTCTCAATCAAATTCATTTTGTGCCTCATTGTCACCCAATCTCGGCTAGATACGGGCCAATATCTAATGTTTACTAGTAAACTGTTTATTAGGGTGGAAAGGACCAAACATCAGATCCGCGGCTCACGTTTTCTCGCTTGTCCTCCTTTCTTCAAACAAGATCGCTCTTGACCATTTCCCGCCGACATTATTAGGTTAACACTCACACTCACATCGCTAGTATGCAGCCCCCTACGGATGAGAATGCCCCTTCCGCGTCTGAAAGGTCGCTGTCCGTACCGGCGGGCGACCGCCACCCGAAGAAATCACGCAACGAGGACAACGAAGGGGACTCAGGAACGACATCGCAGCACACTACAAAGCGTTCTCTATCTCCGTCACCCGAAAATAGCTCCAAGAAATCGCGTACCGGTGACATTGAGGAAGCCGTAGCAACGACACCACCCCCCACCGACTCGCCGCAACACGACCAGGATCCTCAATCATCTATCGACAAGCCTTTGTCTGATGATGATGCAAGACCACCTCTCAAGCGTGTCCGCACTGCGGGCGGGGTCGTATATCATGTCGGGTACCCGCGACCGTGCCACTTAAAGCGCATGCCCTTTGAGCTCCTTGCGGAGATCCTGGGGCACACAACCTCGACAAAAGACGCACTTTCGCTCGCTCGGACTAGCAAATATTTCTGCGTGACGCTGACTTCGCCCACGGCGGTGTATATCTGGCGGCGTCTGCGAAAGCAGTCCGTTCCTTTGCCTATCCCCGATCCACTACCCAATTTCACGGAATCCTCTTACGCCGCTTTCCTCTTTGACGGCGGCCTGTGCAGCGTGTGCAAGAAGCACACGAACGCACTGTACGCGTCGTTTGCTCTCCGCATCCGTATATGCGCAAGGGTACGTATATGTAGACACTGGTATCCATCTCCCGCTGACTGACTGGCATTGACAAAGCCCGAATGCAGATCCAGGATGGACCGGTAATTTTTTTCCATCTTTCTTTTGCTCGTATCTAGTCCCTTACCGTAGCTTGATTTCCAGGGACCTGCTCTTGAAGCCCACACACTTGCATTTCCCCCGCACAGTTACGCCGCAAACGACCATGCTTCTCAAGTGGTTCCTGCGCGTCGAGTCCGAAAGGTGCCTAAGTAAGTTCGATATCATTTCAGTGAGCAATGATGACTTGCCTAATCCGTTGTTCCAGATCCCATCAGTACTAGCACTATTATAAGAAATTGTGAGTGCGCGGAGATTCCGTAATCTTTGTGCCATGTTATGAAAGCGTGTGCATTAGGGCCTGACATGGAGCCTGCTGTCCTGCGCTCTGACTGGGAAATGGCGCTACAAGAAATCGAAGCTTTGAAATCCGAGGCCGAAATACTGGCATATCAAGAGGCATGTTCTCGTTATGCTATCTACTTACTCGTCTGGTCTAACAATGGCTCTCTAGAAATGTCAGAAGAAGACCGATAGACTGAGCATGTATATGACGGTATGTCGGCAATGAAACTGTGTATATGTCGAAAACACTGACGTGGGCGCTTTCAGGCTGCGGTGAAAATGTCCGAGTGGGCAGCAGCGCGTCAATTGAAGTTCCGCACTATAAAGGATAGCAACGAGACCGTGTAAGTTCTGACCTCCCTCTGACATACACGTCATTGAACAACGGGTGCAGGGCTCGAGCGCTTGCGACGAGCGAGGGGTGGGACTACTGGGAGCTTATGAATGCGGAATCATACTCCGACTTACACCGCCGACGTACGCGTACGCTTGAGGAAGTTACGGCGAACGGTATGTTCCGCATATATAACAGAAATTTGCCTTTCTGAAACGTTCTGTTCTGTAGACGTTGCTCCGATTCGGGCGCAGATCGAGGTCGACATGGTCAAGAATGCGGAGCGGCGCTTGAGGCGCAAGGCGGAGGCGGCGTATCGTCAAGGCCGCGAAGAGGTCAAAGCGTACTACGAAGTCCTCAGGTCCTCAGGCCAGTACAAGGTTCTGCCCACGCTCGAGGTGTTCAGGCAGATTCCGGTCATCAAGATCCTGCAAAACCGGCCTAATGAAAGTACAGGCGCAGCGGGCACGGGCACGGGCACGGGCACGGGCACGGGTGTCGTTACGAGTGGTGCAGGGACAAGCGTCGCGGCAGAGCTGAAGGAATCAGCTATCGTGAAAGACCTCATCAAGGACCATCTCGGGACATGGGTTGCGCAAATGCGGGAAGCGTTCGCAGATATGCTTGGGATGCCCAAGTGGAAGAGCCCCAGTACGAAGAAGCTTCACCCAGTTGACCGACTAACGGCACGCTTCCGGTGCAAGCGATGTCATTCCGTAGCGCGACGCTATAAGGAGGAGGAGTGCCTCGATTTTGCTGGCGTATGTGCACACGAGTGTCCTCCCACTGATAAGAGGAAGGCGAAGCTAGCGTGGACAATTGACCAGTTCGAGCCGGATGAGAAGGTGCGTGCGGTACTACCAAGCGCCCAGAGCTGGCCATTAATGCTCATCTGGCTACGGTACACAGGCTATCGCAGTTATCAACGACCTTCTCAGGCTTTGCAATGCGAATCCCGAGGATGTACAGTCGCACGTCGCTTTTGCGGACATTCCCCCGAGGATAAGGTGCCGATCCTGCAGCGGAAACATTCTCATGGGTCCGAGGCATGTGGTACGTCCTGGTTGTTTTTGCATGATACCGCATACCACAATCCACGACCACCTAATATCCGATTGGACTGCCCATCTAATTTCTGCTTTGCTCTAGATCGGCCACTGCCAGCGACACGAGAAGATGGACGTCCTACTTCTGTCTCCGGAGGATGTTAAGGGCGTACCGCCAGTCGAGCCTGGGCTGTGCGCGAAGATCATGATGGGGTATACGGCTCGCGCAAAGAAAATGCAGAACTATGTGGTCTTCGCGTGCCGTCATTGTGGGAACTTGCCGGTCCCGAGGGCCGCCGTAGGAGGTAACAACGCCCAAGGAAACCCCTCTACGGCGGAAAGCAAGGCCATTGCCGCTCCAGATGCTGATATGAATGGCGACGCCGGCAATGCGACGGCTGTTTCACTTTCCCAACCTCGGAGCACGAAGTATTTCAGCTTCAACGGGCTTCGAAGTCACATGAAAACCCTGTACGTGTCTCATCGTACCTCTACGGATAGACGTACTCACGATACGCTGCCAGCCATTCTATCGAGGTCATACGTGACGAGGACTTCTTCTACGACAGAGACGAGGCGAAGAGGCAGGAGAAGAAAATATCGGTTGATAAACTGTAGGAAGTGCATCAGGAAGATAGGCTCTTACGAGCTATTCTCGTTCGCGCTACTTATATGTTATTACGGGTGGAGGTGTCCGGGTTGCACATGGTAGATGTTGCGTATATGGGACTTTCTTCACCTCGATAATTTTAGTGCATAGCAGAGAGGGAGACAGGGGAAATGTACAAATGTAGAAGTAGAAGGAACGATTGCACGCGCGGTCACATCTTTTCTTTCGCGTCTCAAATGTCGTCTTCAACACCTTGCTTGACTCTTGTTCTAACCTGGCGCCGTTGCCACTGGATCACTCTGCGTTCTCGTGAAATCGATGAAGCCGAACCTGAGCCAGCCCACATGGGATTGTATTGGGCCTTGCCGCCTCTCACGACCGAACATCGTGCGCCGATATGCATCCCGATCTCACGGTGCCCGGTCAGCATGCGTGTACTGCAGACCATGGTCGGCCAGGATTGGGCCGGGGCCGACGTGTCAGGGCGCCACTCACTTGCTCACTTGCTGACGGAGAGCTTGAGCTTGAGTCTTACGGCCGGTGCTCACAGGTGCTCTTCAGGTCCACGCCGAGGCTTCCGATTCCTCGCGCATTGCTATGTGTAACACACGGAAGAACAGCGGCACCCGTCACAAGGCGCACTCCGCGAGGTCGCTCGATTGTAGTGAGTCGTCGCATTCTAGGCTCTGCCGTATTCTATTTATGTGTTATTGAAGTGTCTAGTGGTACTCAGAATGAAAGATGCGATTGGGTGCCCCGGAGCTTCGAAGAGCGGGTGTACCTCCAACTGACTCGTACGGGGTATCGTTTGTTCTGAAACCAGCGTTCTCGAAGACACGAAGATACGAAGCGACCCCCTTTTATCTCCGCAAGGCCCGCCATTCCCGTACTCGGTACGAGTCGCAATCGGGAGTGCTATGCAGGTGCTCTTTACGGTACGGACAAATGCTTCGGTACGATTGTTCGTCTCTTGTTCTCTGTTGCTCAGTTTCTATTCCCGTGTAGAGCCATTGTCTGTCTGCCTTCAACATCATCATGCCAAATCCTTGCAGACCCTTGCATGAGCGCTTGGTAGAACCCTTGGAGCTTCATGGTCGATCCCGACGGTAAACGCCTGTACTGGTCCATCACATTCGGGAAAGGACGTGGGGCACGATTGGAGCCATGCACTGTACTCCTTTTGGACAGGGTTGGCAAACAAATCTCATTACTTATCACGAGACCATTCATTAAGTCCCAGTTGTACACCAGATCACACGGTATCTGCCCCCTGATCATATATCATACGTGCACTCCGGTGCTTCCTGCTATGTGCTTTGTACTATAAGTACATTGCCGTTCGTGTTCTGGAATGCAGGGAAAATTTGGTGCAGCGAAGCCTCGGAGACACCTGCCTCTCAAGTCCCGACGAAGCGGTGTGTGCAGATATTCGCGGAACACTGCCACGCTGACGGGTCGACAAGATGATTCTTGATGCAGCTGATGCGGGGAAGCGAAACGAAGCATACGATGCAACTAACGCTTCCCTAAATTTTGATTCGCACACTTACACTGGTGACTGGTCAGGTTAGTGAAGCCCGCGTATATAAAGCGAAGACGATGGCGATACCCGCTCCTGCTTCAACCCTGGTCTTCCAGCCACTTCCACTCGTTTTCTCTTTTCTCTAGATGGCCTTCCGGCGGTCTTTCGCGCTCCTTGTCGCCCTCTCGG